CCACCTGTGTTGTCCCTTTACAAGGGTCATTGAGACCAGGATTCCCCTGCAAAAAAAAGTTTCGTAGAATCCCCTACCTAATCATCAACCAACATGGGTGTCCAACGCACTGCTCAATGATGCTTGTTGATTTATAAAACTTAACTATATGGATATATTTACCATAAACTATAGATAACTAATATATTTAGCGTATATCTACCATAACCATCCATAAACTGTAGAACTATAGCTAACTATAGTCAACTTACTTAGTTCTGCCTCACGCGTCAAGTTCCACGCCTTGTCTCATCATCTGTTAAGGCTCTCATTGCCTATGCGACCAAGGGTATCACCACCACTGGGATCTAGTCTAACAATCAACACTGCATTAAAACATCAACAAACTTGGATTGAACATGATTCAACTATCATTAATTTGCATTAATTATCATTAAGTATATCATTATCTATCACTCACAGTCAATCGATTGTCATGTATTTCACCAGCCGAAATCGTGATTCAACCATCAAAAGATAGACTAAGATAGACTAGAATGAAGAATGATGCTTTTTCATTTCAACCATTAAAACATAGATTCAACATGATTCAACCATCGTGGTTCACATGTTTAAAAACTTAACTCACCGAGACGCCAAGTGTCACCATTCAGGGCTTGTTTCGGCCTGTCCCAGATTTGGGATGATCGACTGAATTTCTGTACACATTCGAAATGTGTTCCATCTATGCCGTTGCTTATTGAGTCGTGTGCATATCGTCTACCCTCTGGTAAACGTTTACAAAACTGATCGTACAAAATAACTATGGAAAATCACCATGCTATTAATGGGAAAACTCACTATTTCGACTGGGCCATTTTCAATAGCTATGTTAGTTTACCAGAGGCTACCGTCAATTAAACAGGGTTGTTTCAATCTTTCTTCGGTAAATCATGGCCTCACGCTGGAAACTATTGGAAACTCATCAAATTGTCAAGTCAGCAGTGACCCCCCGACACGCTGGGGTCTGTACCGGGCTGCCGGGGAAGGAGATCCCCGGTCTGATAGGACCTGGGTTTGGTCACCGTACCCAAGGATAGTACCTCAAAATGGCATGTACCTTCAAGAAAAGGACAACGTAGGTGAATATATGTGAATATGATTGAATATGCTATAAATGTATAATGGATGAATTATTTGGGAGACATAGTGACCATGATAGTATGGAAGAGGGAAAACATGGGCAAATCATTCTGGGATCCTGAGGAAATTGTAAAACATACCTCTGGAAATCTACGGAAACTGATGATAAACCGCATCACTGCAAGTGCTGTTCCACTTCGCTAGCAAAGTTGACTAAGTTGGCTCATTGAGTAGGCTAATTCTTAGGTCTGTCAAGTTGGTAGATATAGATATCTTATATATATAATATATATATATATAATATATATATAATATATATATATAGATCCTAAGATATATGATATATACACATGTAATCACTATAGCTACATGGCTACATGGGCCAAGTGTTGGGGATCCTAAGTTGGTAGATGTTAAGTTCAAACTGTGCGACACTGCGATGTCATGTGGGAAACCCAGAACCACCAACCCGAGTTCCCCGGCCCAGCAGCTCACCACTGCGTCGTTTGGAGCCGAAGAAGCGATGGCATGGAGTTCATCAACCAAAGGTCAAGTTGGTCAAATTGCATGGGTTTGCCCATGAAAAGCGAAGAGTATTAGTTGGACTGCTGAAAACCCCATGTTCTCCACTAGCTGCTAGCTGGTGGGTTTTCATCGTCCCATTTGGGATGTAAGATTGCCACTTTGAAGGTGACCCCAACAATAGTAAATGGTGACAAAAGATTCGTGGGGAAAAAGGCAAGAACGAACACTTAATTTTACTTAATTCTAATTTTGTGGGAGGTCACCTTTTTGTTGGTTGAATCCCTATGCTGTCGTCGTCGTCATCGTCATCGTCATCCTCCTCCTCATCATCATCACCATCATCATCATCATCAAGAGTAGCAACAGCAGCAGCGTGGCTCCAAGAGCGTCACTTTCATGTTGCATGATTGTAAATCTAGTAGCCCCATCACGCCTTCATGTGCATGTTTTTTTCATGCTGCTTAAAAGCACTGCTTGACTGACTTCTGCTGGTCGCTTTTCAACCAGTAATCCGCATCTCAACGGTTTTGCCTAGCATCAGGTTTTAGCCGGCATAGCCTGAATCCCACTGGGTGTAACACACACACACACACAAAAAAACAAGATAGGGTGTACCCCCTTTTTCAGGACCCATGTGGAACTCCAGTATGGCGAGCACGGAGCATGCTCCAGTCTGGGCGGGGAGTGACCTTCCACTGACATGACTCCCACAAAAATGCAAATCCGTAAGTAAATCTTCTTAAATTGCTTACATCCCCTGGATTCATTCAAGAATTTCGGAACAAAACAACAACGACCTATTTTCGGATTGGTAAATCTACTGGTTAGTCATCATTTTGCCTATCAAAACAGCAATAAATTAAGGTTGAACCCACCATTTTCATGGTTTCGGTATTCTTTGGTCATCTCTTCCACGTCCATGATCTAGCAATCGATCGCCCGGCTTAGCCGAGGCACTACGCTTTTGTTTCAGCAAAGAGTTCCATGGCCGAGGTCCAGGTGCCTCACAATTCCCAATGGATCAGTGATGTTCAGTGTCATTGTTCCCATGGGTCCCATGGATGAAAACGGCCCAACTGTTTCAGTATCCAAAAATGAGATCCCGCATCCATCCCATCCAGAAAAAGTCCTTCCGGCGATACCGCAAGTATTGCAATGCGTCAGCTGGTTGAATCCCAAACTGTATGTATATGTATGTATGTATATGTATATGTATATATATATATGTATATATATTGTGCATATATGGATGTATGCATGGATGTATGTGTGGATGTATGCATGTATTTATGTTATTTTTGTATGGGGGTTTCCATAAATGGGAGTACCCCAAAATGGATGGTATATAATGAAAAAACCTATTGAAATGGATGATTTGGAGGTACCCCTATATTAGGAAACCCCCATATATCATCGACAGACATTTAACCCATTTATAGATGCTTAATCAGTTTGAACCTCTATTGTACCCATTATATCCTCCTTCTACCGCCATGTTTGTTGGTTAAATTATTTCAAACCCAAGTTTTCTTGCTTAAGTTCTGTTAGATCACCAGTATAGGCAATATCCTCCTTATAGAAGCCCCATTTTTGTTGCTTCAATCCCCATTTGTTGTTGCTTAAATCCTGCTATTCTTATCCCATTAAATGTGCATTAAATCCCCACTTGCTGTTGGTTAAATCTCAAGTTATAAGTCATAAATCGCCATAAAAATCCAATTTTATAAATATTAAATCATCACAACTCCATTCTTACCCATGCGATCCATGGGTCCCAAGAAGATAAAAATAGTCATAGGTTCCCCATTTCCAGTGGATTAACCCAAGGGGAAGATGACACTTTTCACTTTTTCTCTCCATTCCCCCCCAAAAAAAGGTTGGAGCAACCCTGATGTTTGTTGGTTAGAAATTAAAACCACTAGACTTCCCTGAAAGGTGAGGCTGTAACTGTAGTTACATCCCCTATCAACCCGACAGATCACCAAGATGAATGCGCATCAACTTAGCAATCGTAAGCAGGGGCTTGCTGGAAAAATCCACTTCTAGATGCTCCCAGCTATAAACCTCAATTTATAGCGTATAACTTCCGATCTTTTCCCATGTTGAGTTGGGATTTCCTCACCTTGATATCTAAGTTGAGGAGACTATGGGAAATCCGGCTCTGTAGGGCCATGGGTTGAAATCCGGCTCAGCAAGGTTGAAAATATTCAACTTGTAATGTTCCATATTACACATTTGTTGACGAGAATATGGAACATTAGCAATTCCATCAGATCACTGATGTATGAGCATACCAAAGCCATAGCAAACATTGAATTTGCTGCTATATATAACATTATATATAATCCCTTCCTCCTAATACTAAACGTCCCCCTAATACTAAAAACAGGCATCCATCTCCAATTTCCAAAAATTTCAGTTTGGCCAATTTGACTTTTAATTGATCCCCTTTAAAAAACAATTTAAAAATCAACCTACCATTTGTGGGTTCTCCCCCCTAATACTAAAAACTAGTTCACCCCGGGGTGTTTAGTATTAGGGGGGCCTAGTCCCAATCCCTCACTCCAAGCTGCCTAGCTACTCTAGCAATTAGGGGTAAGCTTCTAACTGCCATTTTTGGCAATATTTTAATTGCGCTATATAAGGAAATTTAATTGATTTTGAGATCGGAAAAAATAGTTTTTAGTATTAAGGGTTTTAATTTAGTATTAGGGGTAAGCTTCGAACTGCCATTTTTGGCAATATTTTAATTGCGTTATATAAGGAAATTTAATTGATTTTGAGATCGGAAAAAATAGTTTTTAGTATTAAGGGTTTTAATTTAGTATTAGGGGTAAGCTTCGAACTGCCATTTTTGGCAATATTTTAATTGCGTTATATAAGGAAATTTAATTGATTTTGAGATCGGAAAAAATAGTTTTTAGTATTAAGGGTTTTAATTTAGTATTAGGGGTAAGCTTCGAACTGCCATTTTTGGCAATATTTTAATTGCGTTATATAAGGAAATTTAATTGATTTTGAGATCGGAAAAAATAGTTTTTAGTATTAAGGGTTTTAATTTAGTATTAGGGGTAAGCTTCGAACTGCCATTTTTGGCAATATTTTAATTGCGTTATATAAGGAAATTTAATTAATTAATTAACATGACTTCGATTTGGTTCCCTAATAATAAATACCCCCCTAATACTAAAAACTACCTGCCGTGTTTTGTATTAGGGGGGGGGTTTAGTATTAGGAGGAAGGGATTATAGAGCATATAATATCACTCGTGTATATATATATATCACATCATATTATATCTATCCATATTATTGTATTAATCCATACAATATCCCTGCTTGGTGCCTCGGCCATCAGATCACATCCGATGGGATTCTGTCTCGAGCAATCTCGCGAGCCGAGAAGATCTCCTGGGCAGGAAGGCGGGACCAAAGGAGATGGTTCACCAACAACAAATGGAGATTTAATAGTGATTTAATGGGATTCAATGGTTTAATAGTGATTTAATTGGCTGATTTAGTGGGATTTATTGGTGGTTTAATGTGATTTAATGGGCTGTTTTAATGGGATTTATTTAACGGTCATTTAAGGGAATTTCATGGGATCTAATGGGATTTAATGGGATTTAATGGTGATTTACTGTGATTTAAGAGTGACTTAATGGGATTGAATGGAATTTAATGTGGTTTGGGGGATTTCACCATCAACAAATGGGGGTCTAATGGAATATAACTAACTAACTTGGTGACCAACGCCTAAAAAAAACATGGTACACATTATGTAAAAAGTAGGGGATTATGGGATGTATATAAACATGTTTGGGTCCGTAGAGTGGGCTGTTCAGTATAAACGGGGGATGGGATAAAAGGTGCCAGTAACAATAGACAGACCCATCTCGTGTTGCACCTAATTCTGTGATTAAAGCGGATAGTATTTCCACCCGAAGACTTCTGCACATGTAAGCAGATAAAAATCGCTGCTCACACACTAGACAAGAATGGATCATTATATGATCCGGCAGGAACTGAATCCTGAAACATGCAAATTAGAGTAGAAACAACGAAAATAATTCCAGATTGCGACAACCGTGAAGTGAAAATGCAGCTGTGCGGTTCTAGGCTTGGCCGCGTGCCATGTCAGTCAAAATTGCAACGAAAAATTGCAGGTACGTCCAGCTGGCCAAGCTGGATATCCCATTTCACTGGTAGCTTCGTTGGACACAGTCCCAGTGAAATGCTGTGTCCCCCTGCACTAGGTTTAAAAAGGGAGAGGACAGAAGGAAGAAAAAGAGAGAAGTTTTACATCTATTCAGATGTTACACACACACACACACCCGGCCAGAGCCGGGTCAACCCTGAAAGGCAAGAGGAAGAAAAAAGCGGACACACGAAGGGCAAAAGGCCAAAAACAGCGCGGGGGGGGAGGGGAACAGACGGACCTCCGGAACCAACCTACACGGCGAAACGGACTGGACCAAAACATCGCACGCACCTAAACCCCACGACACATTACGGAGAAGCACGCGGGGGAATTAGGGACCAAATGGGGGACTAGTTGATGACAGACAGGAAAACCAAAACAATTAGTAAAACCACAGGATTCAGTTCCTAGACCTACAGGTCGTGCGTTGTGCCAATCCAGGCCCGTGTTCCAGTCAGCCACAAGGGCATATAACGGCTTACAAATTCCCTCGAATTAGATGCACAATATGTTTCACCTCACCAGATACCAAAGAGACCACACCTGCAGGAAAAGGACATGCCTGTTGCCTTGTCATACATGGAGCATGTTGCTTGTCACAAGCTTGGGCTGCGGAAATAAACAAGAGTTTCGGAAGTTCGGCACGGCTTCATCCAGTAGAGTAGCAGTACCGAAGGAGCTCAAGGGACAGCTGAGACCGCAGGACATCTCAAAATGGTGCAGAACAGAAAGGCTGACTGTTTCGCTTTACTTAAACGAATTACTAAATTAAAATGTGTTAATTCGGCAGTCAGGACAGTCATCACTCACCCTAAAAAGGGTTGCCTCAAATGGCTCCATGGCACCATGTCGGAGCCACCATGGAAATCACACTAGACAAGAATGGATCATTATATGATCCGGCAGGAACTGAATCCTGAAACATGCAAATTAGAGTAGAAACAACGAAAATAATTCCAGATTGCGACAACCGTGAAGTGAAAATGCAGCTGTGCGGTTCTAGGCTTGGCCGCGTGCCATGTCAGTCAGTCCAGCTGGCCAAGCTGGATATCCCATTTCACTGGTAGCTTCGTTGGACACAGTCCCAGTGAAATGCTGTGTCCCCCTGCACTAGGTTTAAAAAGGGAGAGGACAGAAGGAAGAAAAAGAGAGAAGTTTTACATCTATTCAGATGTTACACACACACACACAAAACAATACCTGGATTCTGGAATCTGGGAGTCTTGCTAGTTTGTGGGTCTGAGCAACAAAATTTGAAGGTGCAAAATTGGTATATGATGGGGATATGATAATTATGATACACTGTAACACATACTGTAGCCGAAACGGTTATTACAGTAACACATATTATATATAACAAATAATACAGTTTCTTGTTTGTGGTTTCAGCCCATCCCAAAACAAATAGTCAACTGCGATTCCTATCCACAATGTTTATCGAAACGAAGCATATGGGTTGGTGGATTTGACCATGTTGCGGTCTCGTAGACACAATCTTGTGATGGCTATACAACCAGACAGAAGGGGGACATGATTTTCGCTGATGATTTCTCAGGGTTCACTTCATAGTTATGGTTATCAAATTGTACCATTCAAATAAACTCAAATAAACAATAAAGGGTTCAACATTTTGTGCTCCCAGGGTGACAATACCAGTGGATCGTTGTTGGCTGATACTTCGCGAGCATTGACAAATTTGTTCAGCCATACTAGAACGGTCACAACATGACGCTGCTGTATTCGTTTTCAATTGCCGATTTATTGGGTAATACTAAAAGGAAAAAACAGCAGTTTGTATTTGTTTTCAGTAGGCAACTTGTTGGGCAATACAAAAAGGGAAAAAAACATGATGCATTCGTTTTCAATTAGGCAATTTGTTCAGCAAAACCCAGTGTCCAGAGTGCTCTGGAGCAATGTTTGGCCTCATCATTATTTGTGGGCCTTTAATGTTTTGGAGGTGAGTTATGAACAATATCAACATCTAATATTTATATATATTTCAACATTTACCAATATTACCATAATGTATATACAAACACAAACTATATCCACTATGATCTGGATGTTTACAAAATATATAAACATATATTAAAATCATTGAAAATCCCATTGTATAACTACAACAAAATGCCCAATCTCAGGTCGGCACCGGGTCATCGATCAAGCGGTCATTCTCGTGCAGGACATGTGACAAAGCCAGAGATCTGACAGATCTGGGAATTTCATGGAGATTTTATGGTGATTTAGGGGCGATTTATGGTGATTTAATGTGACACAATGGGATTCAATTGTTTAATAGTGATTTAATGGGATTTAATGGTTTGTTAAGTTTAATAGTGGTTTAATGGGATTCAATAGTGAACAAACCAAGCTGATGTGATAGTTGGGTGTGTCGGTGTGTCTGAAAATGGTAGGAAGACATGGAAATACCATGAACCCATAGCCATTATGATAGGGAACATGACAACAAACAACTGGATTTAGGATATCCTATGTTCAAACAAACTCACATGGCTCAGATCTGGGTCGTGGGATCTGGGCCCTCAGTTTATGGCAATCGGGAAAAAAACACAGGGGAAACAAATCCAACTCCAATATGGATTTTTGTAATTTTGATGAAATATGGAAATGAGAAGAATCCAACTCCAACTTTAATTTTGATGAGAAGAAGACGAAATTAATTATGATACTTGCGGATAACACAAGCAAATCAATGATGGTGAGTTTTGGGAAGCCATCAATAATGGCCCCTTTCAATGCTGGCTTGTGATTCAGGAAGAAATATAGGGAACCTGTCAATCCAGGCAGCAGCGGAGGGAGATCCATGGGATGCTTTCTTCATACGGGATGTCATAATGTTGGATGTAAGATGAGAAGTGCTTTTTATATGGGATATACTCAAATGGGATATATAACATTTGGCTATCAAAATTCTCAGAAAGTATGTGGATCTATATTTCTCTGGTATTTACTATTTATGGTTGAGAAGTTGAGAATTCTTAACATGTAAATTGATATACTTTCTATACTAATACTATTAAGTATGTAGTACCCTCTGGTGATTTAACATAGCTATGGAAAATCAGCTGTGTTCATAGTATATATATATATATGTATCTGTATGTATATATATAGATATATATATATATAGGTAAATCATCAAAGAACATTGTCCATGGATTCCATAGCTATGTTAATTTACCAAAGGATATTTACCAATGGTCATTCAACTGTTGGGAGGTTCTGTTTGTGTTTGGGAGTTTCCATTATCGTTGTCTTAATTTTCAATATTGGATTCACTATAACACCAAGAATAGTATAGACTGATTTGATGCTTGTTTACTATTACAGTACTAATACTTTTATGATAAGCATCTTATTTCTGTAGCTATCAATGTTTATTAAATACGATTGATCTATTATTTCTGTTACCTGCTACTGTCTAGTGCTATCTAGTACCATATTCCTATCTATTCCTATATATTACTATCTATTAGTATCTATTTCGATATTACTATCTATTACTATCTATTACTATCTGTTACTATCTAATACTATCTATTACTATCTATTACTATCTATTGCTCAAAACAATTACTATCTATTACTATCTATTACTATCGATTACTATTTATTACTATTTATTACTATCTATTACTATCTATTACAATCTATTACTTTCTATTACTATCTATTACTATCTATTACTATTTATTACTATCTATTACTATTGAAACTATGTGATTTCTATAGTTATCGATGCTGACTGAATACTATTGTTGTATATTATGCCTATATTGTATTACTACCTATTACTATATACTAGTATCTATATTACTATCTGTTGTACTAACCATATCATCATTATGATGATTATCATTATATTTATTATTATTCATTATATATGGTATTATATATAAATATAAATGTATATATATATATATTGCTATGTAAACTAATATATATATATACACAGATTACTGTCACTATCCATTACTATACGCATGTTTATTTATCATTATTCATTACTGTCTGTTATTATACACTATTACATATTATCGTTTATTATCTCATTATTATCAATTATAATCTATCATTATCTGATATTACGGGAATAACGATATTCATGATATTCAAATCTATTCTCTGTGATTTTCACTAATGATCACTGGAATATACCCGGAAATGTGAAATAACATCTATTCTGATTATTAAAATCATGAAATATGTCGAGCGGATTACCGACCACCCTTCCAATGGATCGCTATCAGCCCCTATCCACCCGCCGCCCTGCAGCTCGCCTGAATCGATGCCGCGACAAGGCGAAGAACAGCCCAAAGAACGCCACCGACGCCACTACTGCCACCGTTAACACCTGGGCACGCTGGGATTTGGGCGGTTACCCCCCAGTAAACATATGGAAGCCATGGCCCATTATTTACCTACTAGAAATGGTGATTTCCATAGCTATGTGAGTCTACCAGAGGGTAACACGGGGAGAGACACGAGGGGAAACGTGACTTTTAAGATGCCAAATTTTGCTGATTGTTCAGCAAACAAACGAAGGGATTTTACGTTATGTAACAACAAAAATTTGGGATTTTACTGATCCAGCTAGCAAAGAGGATTTGTTGAACCAACCAGCAAACATGATGGATTTTTGCCCGTGAATGGAGATTTTACCAACAACAATGATATTATATTCAATTCAATCAGCCACTATGGTGATTTCACCAGCAAAGAGGGCACACATTTTGACAACACCACCAACAAGTGGCAATTGGGACATGCATATATATATATATATACATACATACACATGCACCCCTCCCCTAATTAAACGCTGTACGTAGCCTTGTCCATGTAAATTACTTGCAAATTTACCAATTTCCAAAACATGTTATATACCAAGTGGATGTCAGCTAAAAAAGGTGCACCCAACAAAGTGGAATATCATGGAATATCTAAATATATGATGAGTCCGTCTACAGCAATTTCACAGCTTGGAGTTACAGACCTTCAGCTAATGATCCTAGTGGATACGGCAAGCGTCATAGAAAAAGGCAACCGGGTACCAAGTAACAGGTCGCATTGCTTCGGTTCCTACTGAGGAATATATATATATATAAATGTTTAACTATAATTATATATAAATATATACAGATACATATGTATAGATATGTATATATGTACATATACATATACAATATGTATATATATTATATATACAGTATATACATGTGTCAATAAAACATATTGGTACAACTGTATGATGTGTATGATGTACTATTATGAACGTATTAGTATATAAATCATCTCAGTACTTATATGTAGTAGTGGTACATGCTATCAACATGTAGCACCCAACTTCGTCTCGAAGTGCAAGTAAATTTGCCACTCCCGTTGCTGGCAAGGGTATTGCGGGGTATATACAGCTGGTCTGTGCATTTCACCAAGGAGCATATGAGGGCAGTCTTAGGGATACCATGAGGAAATCAAATCAACAAACAGAAACCTAACAGAAATAAGGTATACTAACAAAGTGAATTTTATATATATATATATAACATTCACAACATCCACCAAATCCCAAATCTTCAAAATCTTCCAAAATGCTCTCGTCTGCATGGTGTAACATCACAACATTTGTCAACATGGACATGGTGGTTGAATCCCTCATTCAACATCATGTTTCCTCCATTCAGACTGTGGAGGTCTGTGAAACCCAATACTAAACGACCATCAAATCACTGTTTGATGCTGGTGGGGATGCTTAAATCCGCATGTTTGATGCTTACGATCAACATGTTTGATGAATCAATCTCACTTTTTGATAGTTACATTAAATCATGTGAAACCCTAATTTTCGATCATGTTCGATCTTTGCTCTGATGGTTAAACCATGTTAAACCATGCTAAACCATCTCAACTTCCATGTTCCAAACAATGCCATGAATTTCTCCCGTGTCGCCTGCAGTTGCGGCGAGATCGACTCAGCGACCTGCTCCTCCGCGCCCCGCGCAGGGACAGCCCGGCCCCGGATGTGGGAGTCTTCGTACCTGGCGTCTAGGCGTGAAGTTTTTCCCCAAACCGGCGTTCCAATATCAAATAGCCTCTGAATGATCTCCAATATGTATTTCATCATACTCCATCGCCTAAACCATGGTTTCTGGCTCCAGGGTGTTTAGTATCATATGAAGTACGTCACTATTAACAGAAGTATGCGCAATCCTACTGATATCTCTTAATTACATCTCAAGTCCCTCTCCCTAACAGAGGTTGGTTTATGTTAGTTTAACCATGTTTAGCAATCGGAAATGCCCCTATATAGTCACCCAAAATGGATAGATCCAATAGTAAACATGCGTTTCCGAGGGAATATCTATTAATTTAATATTAGGGGGATGGGATTGTGTGTGTAATTAACCAACCAAAATGTTGACTTAACACATTCAAACAAACAACAATGAAGATTTGGGTATATGTCAAACCCAATGGAATCCCTTGGTGGACACCAAAATGGCTGGGATTTATGGATGTTCATCCCCCCAGTCAAACAGGTATGGTATAAGTTTTGACCCTTCCCCATTAAGGAACCTGAGTTCGGTAACGAGACATGGCAGTGCAAAAGACTTATTGTTCATCTCCTTTAATGTACTGTATTTGATGTGCAACTCGTGATTTCTACCCTCTGGTAAACTAACATAACTATGGAAAATCACCATTTTTAATGGGAAAATCCACTATTTCTATGGCCATTTTCAATTAGTTTACCAGAGGGTATTCCATGTTCACAGCGGATTTCCCAGCTAAAACGGTGAAACGGTGACACCCTAGCGAGCGGATTGTGTCTTCAACTTGGCGGCGCACTTCTTCGAGAAAATCGCATCCAAAAGGTTGTTGAAAGCCTCCACGGCAAACTCCAAGAAGTTCTGCCATGCTGCGTCGTTGCCAAAAAGTGGAGGGAATTTACATCTCCGAATTGATCGGAATATTTAAAGGGTTGCTCCCAACACCCCATATATACACAATGGGGATGGCAAAGTAGGCCAAAAAAAACAGGTACCACTGGATTGGATCAAATATTAAAAAACATGGGATTAAATGTTCATCAAAAATACATGATGATATACTACTAATCATACATATATGGAGGTTTCTTAAACTGGGGGTACCCCCAAATCATCCAAGTCATCAGACTTAAGAACCCCTCGCATACATGCATACATACGTACCATACCACACCATAACATAACAATACATTACATTGCACTATATTGCACTACATTCCATGACCTAACATAACGTAACACTAACATATATATATATATATTATCATTATTTTTTTGTATAGTGTATATACACCAACTATACATAGAAACATGTCTACACCTCCGCGGCCGCCTTCTGGTGAGAGCTGTGGGAACGGCCCCGTTGTGAACGCCTGGATCTTCGGAGCTGGCGTTCACGCAACATGAAAGGGTTTGAAACATCAACGTTCAAGGCTTAAAATGGGTGGGATTTATATATATATATATATATTTAAAAAATACTAGTATGTGTATATATATAATCATTAATGTGTATATATATATATATATATAGTTGATGCTTAAGTCGTGATGTTTCAATCATTCCTGATGTTTGATCATTAATCAAGAATTTCAACATGACACGATCAATTCGATGCCGGAGTTGATCATCAAAGATGGGGATTTAGGACATCAAACATGGCAAAATTGGGAATTTTGCCATCACAAAATGGACCCTTTGACCATGATTTTCAGATTTTCCACTGATTTAACTATGGAAATGCATGCACCACACCCGATCACCAAAGATTTGGGGGGTCTCTTGAACTATCCGAAATATATGGGTATACTGTATACATCTGTATACCCAGTATATTGCAAATCAAGTTTGGGGATAATGCGTATTGGGGCTACAAACAATAATCACATGGGAAAACTGGACATTCAAAGGATTTCGTGTGATACCCACCACGACATGTATCCTGCCATATATTCTGGCAATCTATCTGGCATTCTACCTGGCAAAAAGGATACGACTTATATTCAAACATTCTATCTGACATTTTTCTGACATTCTATCTGACGTTACTCTTGCAAATAGTCTGACATTCTATCTGGCATATAGTCTGACATTCTATCTGACATATAGTCTGATATTCTATCTGACATAAAGTCTGACATTCTATCTGACATATACTCTGAAATTATATCTGACATATAAAGTCTGACATTCTATCTGACCTCCTATCTGACATTATTCTGACATATAGTCTGGCATTCTATCTGACATATAGTCTGACATTCTATCTGACATATAGTCTGACATTCTATCTGACATATAGTCTGACATCCTATCTGACATTATTCTGACATATGGCCTGACATTATATCTGGCATAAATAGTCTCACATTCTATCTGACATCCTATCTGACATTATTCTGACATATTGTCTGACATTCTATCTGGCATATAGTCTGACATTCTATCTGACACATAGTCTGACATTCTTTCTGACAAATAGTCTGACATTCTATCTGGCATATAGTCTGACCATCTATCTGACAAATAGCCTGACATTCTATCTGACATATAGCCTGACATTCTATCTGACATACAGTCTGACATTCTACCTGACATATATGGTCTGACAGTCTATCTGACATTATTCTGACATATAGTCTGACATTCTACCTGACATCAGGTTCGGGTCCAGCGCGCCCCAAAGAGCTGGCAAGCTCGCCACAGGTCCGGCAAGCCCCAAACAGGTTGAAAGCAGCCAGCAATGGAATGGCCGTGTCAGGGTGTCCCTACCCTGGCAGGGGAAAAAGGAGAACCTTGCCCCTCACCAAGAGTGGCCCAATAAAATCAGTCTTGTTTCTTTTTTTTTCCCTTGGAGGATTGTCCAGGTGTGTAAATGGTCATTGGTAGATTCTATTGGTTAAATTCCAAGTGCTTCAATGTATTAACATGTTTAAATATTGATATATATATATATATTAGATATTATTTATATATTAATACATAATTGCATTATCCCATCGTTGTTTTGCTGCTTGTCCTCCCATGTCTTAAAATGTGTTGCCACCAAGGGACGGAACGAGGGTCACATGGTCCAAAGCGGCGCCCGATGTCTTGGTGGCTCAAAAATGGTGGCTCAGCAGCAGGGTTTTTGCTTATGTTATTCATGTAGATGTACTATAAGTATTAATATTTCCATTAGTATGAATATTTTTTATTATTTTTTCATACGAATATCACTCATTATTCCTGTTGTTAAAATGAGGGTCTAAAAAAAGGTACCAAGGTTGCAGCCATTGGCAAAAGGCAATGGCGCCTTGGCGCCGCTGGCGTCCAAGCCCGTGAAGTTTGATGGAGTTTAATGTGTGTGTGTCCCATATCTGTATAGTATATTGTATAACATATACTATGCATCATCTTGTTTTTATCCGCAACTATATGATAGAAATTGATAGAACGAAAACAACAACATCATCTCCACATGACATGATATTGAGATCTGGATATTTGCCATGAAACATAAGTGAGTTACACATGTTGTGCGATGCAATGACATGTGCATAATACATCAAGCAAGGTATAGAACCAGATAGTTTGAAATTGTTGAATTGAATTATTTCATGTCTATAATTGTCTATAAAACAAGCGCAAATTCCAAGCACACTACAACACCAACTTGCGTAGAGTCGCTGCATTTGGTACTGCAAAACTGGATGTTTCAGGGCCACTGAATTGTCATGTGTTGCTATGTAGATACTATGTACATACTAATCCACTATCTTTTGGTACTAATCATATACTATGCCATGATAAACATGACATACTCAGACATATTATATGTACTTCTTTTGATCTGTATATATATAATATTGATCTATAGGTGTTCTTAGTGCATTTCTATTCAGCCTCAACATGTTGTATGTTGAATGTGTATGTGTATATGTATATATATATATATGCACAAATATGCACGCATGTAAACATATTTTTTTAAAAAAAAATCAAGTAGATATAGATAGATGGAAGGATAGATAAATAGATAGATAGATAGACAGATAGATAGATAGGTAGATAGATAGATAGATCGATAGATCGATCGATAGATCGATGGATAGATAGATAGATTACAGATAGATAGATAGATTAGATTAGATTAGATTAGATTAGATTAGATACGTAGATGGATGGATGGATGGAAGGATGAATAGATAGATATATAGATAGATAAATAGGTAGATAGATAGAATAGATAGGTAGGTAGCTAGCTAGCTAGATAGCTAGATAGATGGATAGATGGATGGATAGATGGATGGATAGATGGATAGATAGATAGACAGACAAATAGATAGAGAAATATACGGACAAACAGACATACAAACAAACAAATAGACAAGCAAACAAATAGACAAATAGATGAAACGACAGTGTTGCTACAGCTACGAGTTTGAAAAAAAAAACATCCCATCCCCTTGATGTTTCAAACCGCGAGAAACCATGGTTTAATAGAGGTGTCCTAAGGTTTCCGGAAATGGGGGTACTCTCAAATCATCTATGTTAATAGGAATTGTCCATATAATAAACCTTGTAAATAGGATTTTCCATCCATTTTCATTGGATTTTCCATTGTAAATCATCCATGTTCACAGGATTTTCCCTAAGCATCCAGCGATTTTAACAAGGACCCCTCACGGAATCTCGTTTTTTGTTGCCCAGGCACCGACTTATCCGTGGTCAACAGTTGGAAGCGCACGGTGACCTCACGGAATGTCGACCCTGGTAGATAAGGGTTGGAAGATTAGTGAAACCATTAAAACTAGGGCTATTTTCAGGGTCTATGTTAATTTACCAGAGGCTATATCATGATATATCATTTAATTTCTATTGTTATATTAGATGGATATCATGACATATCATGACATCTCATGATATACCATGATATATATATCAATATATATATATATAATATTTAGGGGAATATCCTCAGAAAACATATGAGTTTGGATCACTTTGGGATAGGTCGCATACTCATGTGCTTTGAACACAGCAAACTGGATCTGGATGCAATGTCGTTCAACCAAGAAAACCATGACGATCTAACTATGGCGGCGATGCATGTGCACTTTCCGTGCCGTCAACTCTAAGCATTGCATGAAACCTCCAGTTCCCCGGCATTCATGGTTGGGGTTGGCTTATCATCATGTTCCCTAGGGTGCCCTTTTTTTCTATGGCCATAAATGGTATGTAAATCCTGCTGGATGATCTTCCCATTACTAGTGTTCTCAATCCCTGCACAAGATTAAAGACAGATTGATACACTGATGAGATAGAAATAGAATTCAAGTGTAAAATAATGTCAATCCTCCATGAACAAAACGGCGGTTAACATTAGTCGATTTTAATCTACATAATATATAATAATAGTTTTTTGAACCAAGAACAAACCAATCACACATGGTAAACCAAAACAACATCAACGACCATATACGACCAGTGTAAACCATACAGCACATTACTAATACAACCTATATATATATAGTGGAAAACCATGGAAAACCCATGGTTCCAAGAAAAATCATCTACAAATTAAGTCTACAAATACTCGGTTTTCTCCCAATCTATGGTAAAATTTGCTGGAGGGATAAACACCACCCGAGTCTTAAGCACCCATTATCATTAATTGCCCCATTGAATGCAAAAAAACACATATAACACCCACCCATTTTCAGATAAAAACATATGTATCATATCAAATTGATCAGTTAAAAAAAACCAGTTTCATAAACAAATGCATATCACTCATGTCACCATTAAATCCCATTACAATTGCTGATGCCAATTATACCACCAGTAGAGTCCAAATATACCCTCTTAATACACTTCTGTAAACAGTGTATATATAATAGGATATAACCACCTCACCACACCCCCAGATCTACCATGGGTTGATTGAAAATACATATGCATAGATACACTTCTATAATTCTATAACCAACATCAAATTATATTCCAGCAAATTGCCCTTATATCCCACATATCCCTATATCCATCTCTATCCTATTGTGGCCCCATGATCGCCCACAATTTTGTTGGTCATATCCCCATTGTACCCACAATATATCTGGATATTCCCAGATATGTTCAGATCATCTAGATATCTCCACTATTATCAACTATTTGTACATGAACAATAAACAAAGCTTTACCAACCACAGGATATCACTTAAAAACAAACCATGACCAAATTTACCATAAATTGGTGTTTGAAATCATCCCAAATGAAAGGTTTGTTATTGGGTTTACCGCATTAAACAACAATCATGGGGGCATATAAACTGGCATGTTTAAGTAACCAACTTGAAATAAACAATATGGGATATAGGGCTGGTTGAAAACCCATAGATACAAGGTGCCCCCCCCCACTTTTGTTTGTTGGATTATCAACCCCGTTAGTTGATTCAATATATCTAAACCACACACACTAGTTTTGCTTGCTATACTCGTGACTTAAACCAACACTAGTAACTTAGTTACACAAACTATATAAGCAAACCTATAAACCACAAACATCGTTTATTAGCGGTGACTGGTACGTTTTGGGGTACCGTCTTACCTTGAGCAACTCCCCTTGGAACATCCTCAGAAGGTTCTTGGATCCACAGGGGAAGTTGAACCAGCAACGAATATCAAATTCAAAAATCTGATATGGTTGGCTAGTCATCAGTAGAACTGTATACTGAACTATATGAGATGTTCCAATTGGCTAAAATCAGTATGCTTGATTGCAGAGAACCCATCCATGATGGTTGCCTAATCCCATGAATCTCCCACTATGAATCAAGACGATTGTTAGTTGTTGATACTATGGACTAATCCATAATTTTTGATAGTTGACTATTCATCCGCTGCGGTTGATCCAGACTATTGTTGGTTCAATAATTCATCCAAGCCTATTCAATGATTGAGAACATAATTATATGAAATATCTCATCAAATCACCATTAAAACCCATTAAATTACTATATCATGCCATCAAATCCGAATCCTATATCCCTGTAGAATTTTACTCTCTTCCAGTAAGTCCAGTGGATCACCCATTGTTGCTTCACACTACTTATTAAATCACTAAACAAAATCACTATTGCATCACTATCTGGTTGGTGGTTTCAACCCCTCTGAAAAATATGAAAGTCAGTTAGGGTGACTATTCCCATATATTATGGAAAATCCAAAAATTCATGTTCCAAACCACCAGCCAGATCACTATTACATCACTAAAAGAAATCACGATTACATCACTACCATCTGGTTGTTTAACATAGCCATGGAAAATCCACCCATTTTCAAGAACGGTAAACCATCTATTTCTATGGGCCATCTATACCATGGCTATGTTAATCATATTCAGAGGGTATTTATTGATTAAACTAATTGTCATTCTATGGATTAACCATCATTAACCATTATTAACCATCGTCAACCATTATTATATAGTATGAACCATTATTACCCATCATCAACCATCATTAACCATCATTAACCATTCTTAACCATCATCAACCACTATTATATAGTATTAACCATTACTAACCATCATTAACCATTATTAACCATCATTAACCATGATCAACCATCATCAACCATTATTAACCATCATTAACCATTATTCACCATCATCAACCATTATTATAAAGTATTTACCATTATTAACCATCGCCAACCATTATTATATAGTATTAACCATTATTAACCCTCATCAACCATTACTAACCATCATCAACCATTATTATATAGTATTAACCATTTTTAACCATCATCAACCATTATTAACCATCATCAACGATTATTATATAATTAGTATTAACCATTATTAGCCATCATTAACCATTATTAACCATCATTAACCATTATTATATAGTATTAACCATTATTAACCATCATCAACCAAGTCCCCGATTAGATTAACCAAGGGTTCAGCGGGGTCGCTCACTAATGTGAGTTCAATGACTATTGAATATTGGACAATAAGATAGGGGGATACAATTAGATACATTAAAGAAGGGGCACGAAGGTCTGTAATAGACGGTCGCCTTGTTTTTGAAACCTCCGAAGTTGAAGGTGAAGACATCTTCTGAGATGTTGACTTTTGTGTTTGCCTCTGGGTTTGTATCAGTGAAGGATAAGAAACGATTACCCTCATTATAAAAGGTCTCACCGTAGCCTAAGTTATCAGTGTAGTTTCTCATTCCATCATCTTGCAATATGTCCATCATTGCTTCATAACGGTTTAGGTCTGGGATTTCGGCAATGACATTAGAACCTGCCATCACCCGCATTCGTTGAAAGAAACTTGAAGGGTTGTAGGCAGGTCGCAGGTGCTTTGTCCCATTGTTTTCACCGTTCAGGATTGTGAAACCTATCAATAGACTTCTGAGGTTAATCCATTCGTTGGCACCGCCAGTAAGATTGAAACGGATGACGCTGTTTGAGTTGGAACTGTAAGTAGAAACCGAAGAAGGGTAGAAGGTCTTTATACGTTTGTCTTTGATGTATGAAGCTCCACCTTTTAATCTGTATCTCAGCACATTTTCGTTCAGAACATCTGTTATTTCTAATGCTTCCATTACTTTATATATTTATTACCTAGATTTTTTATGTGATATCAAAATTGGAAAATTATATATACTAATTTTCATTTTGATATTACTATGTAATATCAAAACTATATTTTTTATAGTTAATATGTTTACCTTTGGTTTTCTTCCCGTTGCTCTGGACTTTGTCATCTACAGGTTTGTTTTCGTTGCTTTTTAAATCTTTTCCACTCTCTATGACCTTCCTTATCTCGTTGTAGGTCAAATGCTTCTTTTCCTTGGTGTTTTCGTTCTTCAACTTCTTCATTTCCTGACGGTTGTTTCTTAAATATTCCCTGACAATCTCTTCCATATATTTATTGATGAGATTATAAAAAATCTTTACATGATAGCATTAATCGGTTCTGCTGTGTTGGTTTCAGACTTACCGATGTCTCCGAAGTGTGATGACTGGTATCCATGATTATAAAGTGGGATGAAACTGTTCTTATTGACAGTTATACTTACTCCTCGGTCAAACATACTAACTGGGTCTCCCACCGCCCTCAACCTTGTGTTCCTACTGTCAGAGTTGTCGTTATAACTAACCGTTGGTGTTCCATAGGTTCTAGTGGTAAATCTCTTGTTGTAGTCTTGGTGCAGTTTCATCGTCGTGGCTGAGCCTAAGGAATGGCTTACGATTGTGTCAATGTTGTCAATGTTGTTTTTGATGAAGTCGTTCGCCGACCTGTATCTCTTGGACCTATGAACCATATGAAAGGGTATGAGCACATCGTCTAATACATCTCTGGGAAAATCCTTAGTTCCCGCTATATATAATGTCTTGTTTTCTGGATGGTGATACAGACCTAAATCGGTTCTGTTGTTGTAAGCTCTCTTCAATCCTGTCTCATCGTTGATGTTGCTGAAGTCGTCAAGATATTCGTTTCCTTTTTGTATCTCTTTACTGAACTTCTTCAACATTTTTTTGTGTTTGTCTTTATCCCCGTATTCTTTCCCATCAATTTCTTTGAAGGGGTTCATACTCTGTATTCTCCCTTCCTTCCTCACATCGTCTAACATTTTTTTCTGAAGCATTTTCCTTATATATTATAAATGTATAAAATAATATTTTTCTATTCTTATTATATCCAAAAATGAGCAGATTTAAAAAGATATATATGAT